TGACCAACTTACTACGACTACAAGGCCTATGCACTTTTTCTGTGATATCTGGTTTTGGGAAAACTGCAGTATAAGGACGGGGACATAAGAACACCTGTACGTTTTGTCGGTTTTTAAAGAAAATACATGTTATTGCATCTGCAATTGAAAGGTCCAGCAGGGTCTAGCGCAAGGAAAGTGACCTGTCCTCAATGTGGCTTCGGACACATCTGTAGGGGAGAAGGTGAATCTCGCCCGGCATCAGCGTCATCGCTCTGCAAAGAATTACACAAACCAAGGGTATGATGCAGGTATGGAAACACGTATGCGGAAAAAGTGAGTTCCGATGCTACAGAGGTTTAAGTGGAACGACCCTTCAATGGTGTGTATCCTTGTCCTCTAGCAAGTACAGGTTCGTTGCATGAAGAACCCTAGAGGTTACGGGGAACGAAGACATACTGGTCTGTGAAATAAGACTCAATGGGGAACGAGTCAGATAATGCATTCCCGACGGTGACATTATGCCACTATGCAGCAGACGTAGAAGTCGGACACGCGCTCAACCGGACTTTACGCATGGCACGAAAGGCCGAAGAGCGTTAGCTGATAGATAAAACGCACATTCTTTAAAAGCGTGCGTGATACTGACTACTGAAGTCATCAGTTAAGTTGGTGTCGAGACTGAAGAGTGAAATTTTCCGTGCCTTGAGAAGTTACAAGATCTGCAGCGTTTTCATGCAGTATGGACAACAAGAAGTGGATTTTAGTCAATAATGGCATATAAGACCTAGGAGCACTTCGAGTAAAAACGAAATAAGTATTAGAAATTACAGAATCTGCAAAATCCACAGCAGACAGTTGCCAACAGCAAAGTAAGAAAAACTGCTGCCAAAATCTAGGAAACCAGGGTTTTACGAATCCCAACGTACTGTGCGAGTTGCTGGGAAGAAAGAAATCTAATTTTCGCATAAAAACACTGCGCTCTGCGTGTTAGGTCGATGCAAGCTGACCAAGCGTAACCAGAAATAGCTACCATGTGCGATCTCAATTGCATATTGATCCACATAAGTACTTCGGCTTCTCTTGGGGAGCGCTTTTCAAGGATACCATGTGCTGACTGGTGTGGGTGTTAGAAAAGCACGAAATTCTGTGATCAACGACTAACTAAAGAAACGATGGTAGCCTTTTTCTACAGGCCCCTTTCCCCTATAAAGGGTCGCTTTTTGCCTCGTACGATACTTGCCTGCCTGTCGCGGCCCCACCCAATACAACGATTCTAACAGGAACGCAAAGCCGTTGGGAACTTTAAACTTGAAGGTCAGGAATAGACTCACATCCGTTCGCCGGATGCGTTATCAGCCACTTCGATGCCATCAACTCGCGTATTGACTTGACAGAATACGTAGCTGTCCAAGTTCGGATGAAATGCTGTTAGGGCAAAGTAAGAAGACATGAGGCATACAGGAATAGTGATTAAGGCAAATATCAACGGGCACTCGGGCCAAAAAGATTTAGTTGCGAGTCGTCTAGGTACATGTTTCAAAGAGAACAAATTTACCATAACCAAAATTCAAGAAAAGCCCTTGCCTCGCAGATAAGACGAAGTCGTCGCTTAAGCGACAATCAGTCTACTTAGTGAACCAAAAACGAAGCTGGCTCGGAGTTTTTATTGATAAAGAATAGAAAGACTGGAATATCCACTTCCGTCTTATTTTCCGTTGTCAACCAGTCATGCCTTGACTCATGTGAGAGCTCCTTTGGTGCTATTAAGCAAAAGAGAACACCCGTTTTCCCTCAGGTCGTTAAGGTAGGTTAGTCAGTACTGATGGGAAAAACACGATTCCTAAATAGCGTAACCAGAGACAGTTAATGTCTTCTCAGTGAAAGTTAGGCAGAGGCCTAGAACGCGGCCACATCTAGTCATTCCCTAGTTAGTACTAATATCGACTACGGTATGAAGGTTAATGTTACGGTTTAGAATTACGGCTAGGGGTTTAGGGTTTAGTGTTAGTATTTGGGATTAGGGTTTTGAGTTAAGGTCTAGGGTTAGGATTTAGAGTTAGGGTGTAGAGTTCTCCAATTTACCAGTGCAGCCGTGTTTTGGGCCTCTGCCGAAAGTTGCTTTAGTGAATGCCACTTCTACGCGTCCTGGAGCTTCGGTCTGATATAGCTCATTTAGGAAGTTAAAGCACTGTTGATTAAAGACCAGTCTATTAGATCCCTGACTGCGACAGAAGGTTCATGGACTACATCGCGCGGCGACAAAGTGAGTTGCGGCCGATGCGTCATGCCAATCACTCGAGACCCCCTTGAAGTAGGACGTTGTCTGCCTGAGTCTAGGCTGTCTTCGAGTCGGGTACTGAAAGCCTTTCTGCGTTTGCTTTATCAGAAAAACGAGTCGGAGGAACTGTTTGTTCGGGAGACCCCGACATGTGCCATTGGCAAGTCCTCAAATGTGCGAAAACGCACAAAAAGAACTGGGTTGCCTGGCTCTTTCGCTGGTGAGGTTTTGAATGTAGTCCATATAGTCAGACATCGCAATTATAGGGGTGGTTAATGTTGGCTGTACTTTACTGTCGTGGATTAGAATCCCACCGAGACCGCC